GGCGCTTGGAAATCCGAAGGAATTTCCAACCAAAGAGGGTGTTTTACGCTAAATAATTACACCGACGACGATCTGGCTAAGCTAACTGCTAGCTTAACTCCGGAAACCGTTGACTACGCTATCGTCAGTAAAGAAGTTGGAGAAAATGGTACACCACATCTACAAGGATTCATCAATCTTAAGAGTAAGAAGAGACTAACGGGAATGAAAAACCTAGTCTCCCCTTGCTGCCATTTTGAGAGGGCCCGTGGTACCGATGCTGACAATGAGGAGTACTGCTCAAAAGGTGGATGTATTTACCTCGCCATTGGTGAACCCGTCGGTCAAGGAAAACAAAGTGATCTGACTGCTGCCGTGGAGATGCTCCGCAAGTCGTCTGGTGATCTGTGTCAGCTGGCTAATGAGATGCCGTCAACTTTTATCAGGTACAGCCGCGGTCTGAGCCAATGGGTTGACTTTGCTCGCACGGCCGCCTCGAAGCCGTGCGTGTTGGCAAGTATTCGAATGTATTGCAAAAATGGTGTTTTAAATAAAGATTTAAGGTGTTTATTGTTAGGAAACACATCAGGGTACACACACATACATTTAATAATTATAACGGAGATTGGTGAGGAATGGCAACTCTGACAGATTACAGAAACCTGGAGGATTGTCCTCAGACCACACAAGGTAGGTATTGATCCTCCGCATAAGTGGATCAGCATCATAGCTCTTAAACTTGTACCAGTCCCAAACATGCTTGTTGGAGGTGATGAAGATGCGCTTCGCGGAAAACTGGGCAAAAGAGCCCTTAACAGAAACACGATGAGATCACAGATTCTCAGCATCTCATCGTACTTGAGCCAGCCATAGAAGTCATCGATGATTATATCCTGTTGTCCAACGTAGCCGTCCCACCATTCACCCCTTGACTTGTATTAGGCTAATCCAGATGTCGCACCAGCAGCAAGTGATCTGACTGCTGCCGCGGAGATGCTCCGTAAGTCGTCCGGTGATCTGTGTCAGCTGGCTAATGAGATGCCGTCAACTTTTATCAGGTACAGCCGCGGTCTGAGCCAATGGGTTGACTTTGCTCAGGTTGCTAAGCAACGTGATTTCAAGACTGACGTCACCGTTCTCGTAGGTCCTCTGGGTTGTGGGGGGCATTCCTGAAGACCTTATTTGACTCCATAATGGCCTCTGCCATTTTCTATGGAGTGGTCTGCTGGGAGAGCAGCATCACAGTAACTGACAGGAAGAGGCTGGACAAACTCATAAAGAAGGCCAGCTCTGTCCTGGGATGCCCTCTGGAACTTGTGGAGGAGGTTGGGGAAAGAAGGATCACAGCCAAGCTGTCCTCCATGCTGGACAGTACCTCTCACCCCCTCCAACACACACTCACTGCACTGAGGAGCTCCTTAAGAAACAGGATGCTTCACCCCAAGTGTGTGACGGAGAGGTATCGCAGATCATTCCTTCCTGCAGCTGTCAGACTCCACAACAGAAACCTCAGTGTGCAATAAACCATATTTATAGGTATATTCTGTACACATGTACAGTATAATCTGTACATGCGTATGTTTATTCTGTGTATGAAGACATACATATAAATATCTCAAATTGTTCAACGGTAACGTAGCAAGCATATACATAATAGCTGTAAAAAACACTCATGTATATATCTTTTTTTTTAACTGTGTTTCTTCATTTTTTAATTCCTCTTGTTGTATTTATATGCTGCTGTTATTTGGAATTTCCCCCTGTTGGACTAATAAACGAATATCTTATCTTCAGAAAGATCAGTTCTCATGCTGTCATATGTAGCAGACAACCGCAATCTGAACATATGTTGTAGTTTACCACTTCATTGCTCGATGTCACCGTTATCACAGTACACTATAGATTAACACCTTAAAGCAGCCTTTTGACATGTTTTCGCATGCTATTGCATTGGCGTTTGAGATAAAAGTAAATTTCAGCCTTTAGTCTGAAGCTGTTAGGCATGAGACACAGCACTCACATAATCACTCTAGTAAGAAAAAAACCTTTTCAATGATTGGCTACTGAAAGTGTAAACATATTTATTCGTGATCAACATCATTTTAATCAACATCACTTTTGTAATGGCTGATGCTGATACCAATTATGAGGAGGTTGGCCAATAGCTGGTATATCATGACAACAACACATGGTTGCTTTCTACATTTGAAGAAGTACAACAATCCAACAAACGAGGAAGAAAATTGCTAAACCCAAGTCAATTTCTATTAAAAGAGTTTAGAGGAGGTAAGTTCATTTACAATCACTTAATTTAAACATCCAAAGTATGTGGTCAAAGTTGCACGATAAGATTTTTTATCTGTTTATGAAATTTACGTTAACTATTACTTCTGACACTCTGTGTCTAAGTTACTTACTGGCAACAGCAGGCCACCACAGTGATGCTCTGAAGAATAAGCCCAGAAGAGGTGGATGCAGTTTTAAAGGGAGAGGGAGGGAGAGTGACAAACAGAGACAACTTTGAATTCAAGACAGACAAAACCTTTTCAGTTCTTACAGTGTTTGGCTGGATGATATTTTGCCTCTTTCATTTACAGATCTCTACCACCTGACAGCAGGCCCGGATTAAACCTTCTGTGGCCCCTGAGGCTAAGCAAACCTAATGGCCCCCCTCTGTCCCGCGCGCGCAAAAAATTGGCAGTTTTTATTGGTCACATTGTGTAAATTACTGTAGTTATGGGTGGTTATTTAACGGTTCCACTAGCCACCACCTCTAGCCAAACCACTGGGTTAATACAACTGTGTGTCTGAACTCAATTCAACAAGAGATAGTGAAAAAAGTCTTGAAGGAAAGCACAGAGGCTGGTGTACAGTTCACTTTTTTACTGTAGAAAACCTCAGGCATTTTAAATTATAAGTATATAGCAAGCATTATAAATAAAAGTGCAAGGCATGATATGAAGGCCTGTTATAATTATACAATTTGTTTTGTTTAAAGGATTGCTACACTGAGATTTGAGATTTTTATTATTTTTATATTTGCTCTACATTTGTCTGTGTTGTGTTTTGATCTTTATTTTCATATTCTGTAGGGACTGATAAATGTCAGAGGTTTTGACACTGTGATACTTGAATAAATGTTTTATACCATATTTTGAATTAATTCAGACCTTTTGTGCATTTATTTTTGTCTTGTTACATTTTTTCCATTATTCCAATTTTGGGGAGCGTGGTAGCAATTTGACTGACTTTCAGCCATTTAAGGCCATGATGTGCTGTTTATATTTCATTGCTTTTATTACACAGTAGGTTGTATCATTTTTATGTATGAAACATAAGCTTTTAGCTAAATTTACTGTCTATATTTCATTGTGCTGGGTGCAAATCACTTGAGTTGAGACGTTTTCTTCAAGAAATTTGCTACATTTCATAATCTGAATTCACTTTTGCGTATACTAAGGCACCGATAACTATTTCAGGTGTTAGGTAGATGTATTTATGATATTTGAGAAAGATTTTGTCTTGCCAGAATCAACATAGCAGTTTCTACAAGCAAAAACTGCAGCACCATATAATCGCTTCTTGTGTTACTCACATATATGTACATTTCTGGCTGTTCTTTTGTCTCACCCTGTAGAGAAAGCCACTTGCTAATACTAGTTCTGTAAGTTTCCCAACATGTCCTTGTAAAGTCGAGAACGTCTTCACTCTGGACAGATGATAGGTGCATATAGCATCGTTTCGTTCCTTTTTTATGCACTTTTGAAGGCTGTTTTCTTTTTTTCCTGTTCTTTTCTTCCTCTTCGCTTGTCTCGCTGGTAGACGCGCTCGTCGCCATGTTTGTGTATTTCTGATACTATGGCAACGAGACTCGGCTCCTATTGGTCCACGTGACAAAAATCGCTTCACCCCTCTGCATATTCGATTGCGCGTGTGCAAGTATCACTGCGCCACAGAAAGGAAATAGTTCGACACCGAAACACTGATTACTAAAAATCGACAGGATGGCATGAGTAGATATTTTTTTTAGTACTAACTATCAATAGAGCTGTTTTATGAATCACAGTTTATGTTTCCCCACTGAAGTGAAACGAGATTCACTTTCTAGGCACTGTTTCCTCTAGCCCAATACAGCCTAATCCTCCTCACACCGGGCGCAGCTCATCAGCGTCATAGCGGCTTCTGCTCGGACTGAGTGGCCCCCCATAGCCAAACGCCCTGAGGCTTCAGCCTCACTATGCCTCATGGTTAATCCGGCTCTGCCTGACAGTAAATAATTAATTCTGTAATGCCCGTCAACCTAAGCTGCCCTTCAATTTATTCACTTCATTGGTATATTGTTGAGCCTTATAGTGCAGTAGGAAGCCATACTGAATCTTGCTTATCTTGTGTACTTACTTATTCGTGTCTGTAGGATTCCAACGGTAGCATTCAACCCAGGACAAAATTAAAAACATTAAGAGGGGAAAAAAATAAAAAAATAAAACAGGAGTAAAAAAAGGTGGACAGGGACAATGATTAGACTTCAGTCTTATTTCCAAAATACATCAGTGATTAACCGTTTTTTTTTTTAGGTATGTGAACTTGTTTCAAATTCTTAATGTCTGATCAGCCATAAATTTAAGGCACAAAAGCATTGAAGTTGTCTGTCATACATTTTTGTACAGCTACATTACACTCTACCTCTTGACACATCCAATTAGAAATGTTAACGCATGTACTGAAAATGTTTTATGTCATAAGACGAGACAAAAGTGCCACAGTGCCATCAATGAATATCTGGTTAAAAAGTTAAAGGAAAAAGAATATGTGTAATTATGTAAAATCATTATTCATGTGTTTTCTTGCACTTACACTTTTGAATAAGGAGTCGGTGATGATCAGGCAAGAGGGAAGGTGCCATAAAGAAAGAGAGGTCCGTGTGGAAGGATACAAAGAGAAAAAGAAAGACTTTTTAGGTGTATGATTATGCAGAGTATCTCATAGTAATAAAGCCTTTTTAATGCTCTACAAAAAAAAAACATGTGTTCCGCTACCAAATATATGTTCCTCATTTCTACTTATTGACCAGGGAGCAGGGTTTCCAGCGTTCTGTTGGGGTAAGAAGGAAAACAAAACATCAGCATTGTCGACATTATTATGTCTCAATATTTTTTTTAACCTTAATTTCATCAAGCAGGTCCCACTGAGATTAAAAATCTCTTTTTCAAGGGGTACCTGGCCAAGACAGCAGCAGAATAACTGCAATAAAAGACCAGTAAACAAAAACAAACAATAATAAATATGGATAGCACAGATAACTGCAGGGAATTCATGACATTACTTTGGGCAGTATAACTAAAGTGGTTCCAGTTATTTGTATGAATATTATTTTAGGACCTGCACATCTTACAGTAATTCAGATGGTGAAACTGAATGGTGTAAATATTTCAAATATTATGTCACTATAACACATTATTTTCTGTTTTCATAGCATACTGATACAACAGGCAAGCCTCTTGTTTTCAAATACATCTTGGTTGCATGACAAGTATCAAAGCCCAGATAAGCCCATATAAATGGTCCAATTCCTCTCCTGGGCTTGGGACACGTTTCTACTCAGCTGCCATCTTAGAAAGGAGTCAACTGCTTTCTGATTCCACATAAGAAAACAGTTGAGCATACCTGTCAACACACCCGTTTTTCCCTGGACTCCCTCATATTTCAGACCTATCTCCCACCCACCTCCCATATTGTCATTCCTCCTGGGAATCTCCCGTAGTTCGCATGGTCCATGTTCATTCATGAAAAAAGTTTCCAGACAACTGAAGGTAGTCCTGTGTTTCTGCTGAGCCTCAGAGACTCTGGATTGATACTTTTACTTTACAATTTGGGATGATTCAGGTCGGTTTAAGCTGTAAACTACAATGGATGGGCTCTGAAATGCTTCAAATAGCTTTTGATCTTGCTTTGATTGTCTGTCCAAAACAATTTAACATGAAAACATGAAATTCATGCTTTAATCAAATATGCTTAATAGAGAGCATGAGTAATGATTAAGACAAAATACAGTGTGGAAAAGTCCACATACTACACATTTCTCTCTCACTCAAAATGGCGACCGCAGTAGCGTACTCTTCCTGCCAACAGCCGCCTCTCAAACCGATCAAAGCAGCAACGGTGAAAATGACAGAGGACTCACTGCACTGTTGTTGACCGTGATTGTACCACGGCACACAGTAACATTTACGTGACGCTGCCACGAATAATTTTTAATCACTGGTAAAGAAATAATGATTCACCGCGTGTTTTCGTCTAAGAATCATTTTTAATGAACACTGGACTGTGACGCTAGCTACTGTTTGCCGTGAACTAACGGGCTAGCAAATACCCGGGTACAACATACTTTTGTGCTCAGTTTAAAAAGAAATCCACCCTCCTCAACCCATGATTAATTTGTTATCAAATTAACACCATTGTGCTGCCGTTTTCGATCAGCAAATGTAAAACTGTACCGTTAAAAGACGAACAAAGTGGTAAAGAGAGGGCACAGTTTGTCTTACGTGTGTCGAGAACGTTTCAGGAGTGACGTCTTCCTGGCCGGCGTGATCAAGTCACGTAGCTGTGAGACGTTCAGCGGGCGAGCTACGCAATCCCTGAACGCCCATAGGCTGTACCAGGTGTCAATCATAGAAAACATGAACCCCCTAATAACTTTTAAAAACAGAGCTGTACAGAAAAAAAGGACTTGGGCACAAACCAGTCTTACAATAACTACATGTCAACATCACAACCATGGGGGAGAAAAATTTATGTTCTGTGTAATAAATTTCTAAAGTTTGTCCACAGTCCCATAAGCTTTGCTGGCAGAGGCGGGATTTATGACCTGTACTGCAGCCCACCATCAGAGGGTGCTGTTCTCGGAGTGGCTTCACCCAGCGAGGAGGCAGACTCTGTCCATTCTTTATACAGTCTATGATGCCAACTCAACACCAAGGTGCATTCAGGTTCCTGTATAGTGTAGGAGATTACATAATATTCTCTCAAAACACAAACCAACCACTTGAAACACCAACAACAGAGATGACCCCTTCACTGACACAAGAGACCCCTTGAAACCTTTAACTGCGAAATTTAGGGGGGTCCCTCTTAAACCCTCTACCTACGGCCATTGTTAAAAAAAGAAGGCTATTGTGTTGTTTTGCTGCAATTACATGATATTTATGTTGTTAATTCAGAGAATAATGGCCGAACATTTTCATTAATAACATAGCTATCCCCTATTCCTGAGATGATCAACCCATTTAGAAAAATTGTGACATTTGTTTTCTCTCAATTGAATGCAACATGTTTCATACTTTGGTGCTATAAGGCCCCCAAATGTAGCATATGGCTATTTCAGGCACATGTGACTGCAACAGGCATACAAAATAATCTGGTTCCTTTTTATGGCCTTAAGACAAAGATTTGTAATTTTTTTCTTAAATACAGCCAACCAAACAAATACAGCAAAGAAGACAGAGTGTTTTGAATAACTTTATCAATAAAACAGATTTATAAATAACATAGAACAATTAAGATCATTAGGAACATTAACTCGGAACAATTAGTCAATGTAAAAGGAAAAAAAAAATCGAATTTTAAAATATTCAAGACAAGAAAAACATTAACCTTTTACAATTGACAAGAACTAAACACTAACAAATAATCTAGAAACATCAAGAAACAATTTACCTCACTGAAGGAAAAAAATCAACTACAAAAAAAAGAAAAATCCTCCTCCCATGCCACCTTGCCGCCTTCCATCCTCCCTTCTGCCTCCCCATCCTCGGCCACCTTGCCATCCTCTCCCTCCAATGCTCCATGCTCTTCCTCTCTCTTCTGCTCTACCACCCTCGCCTCCACAACCACTCCTCCCTTTACCGATATTTCCACCATGAAAGGCAGTTTTTTCATTGATCTATACAATGAGAGCCAGAGTGATGCTGGTATCAGGTGCTCCACATCTCCATCAACAAGCAGGCTCAGCATGCTAGGCCTCTCTGCTATGTCCATTGCCCCCATGGCGTTGACCACCGTTGTGCTGCAGGATTCCTATATGAAATTAAACAAGCCATTATAAGTTAAACTGCATTTAAAAGTTTTCAATGGTAAACTACACTTTTGTCAAGTAACCATGAAAAAGAGCTCACCTCAAGCTGGGTGTAAACTGTTGAATGCAGCTGGAAACCGTATGGACCCTGGGTCCCTTTGACATGCGTTATGGCAACCTGGGACCTGACAGCAAAGGTGAAGGCACTTGCCTCCCTCCAAAGGCATATTTGGACTTTGTTTTGATCCTTGTTAAAAAAAAAAAACCCATTATGTTATCATCGTCATGTAATAATTAATTGGGTATTGTAAAGAATAAATATGGAAAGGAAAGACAAGAGGGAAAAAAGTGGAATGAGTGAGAAGTAGAGATATAAACGGACAAAAAGAGTGAAATAGAAAACAAACAAACGGTATTTATAGTTAAAAAGATATGGAGTGATATACCTGCTCAATGACAATCCGCTGTAAGGGTACTTGTTCCCCCCGACCTCTGTTTTTCTGGTGCTGGTCACCTAAAACACAATGAAAACAAGGAAAGGCTAATCAGTCAGCAAGTATCACTCCAGTCAGATTGTAGTTATTCAGTAAGCCTGTGTGTGAGTGCAAAGTGTGTGCGCGTGTTTGTGTGTGTGTGTGTGTGTGTGTGTGTGTGTGTGTGTGTGTGTGTGTGTGTGTGTGTGTGTGTGTGTGTGTGTGCGCATTTGCTAGGTGTGCATGAGTGTGTGGGCTAGGTGTGCATGATCGATCAATCAAATTTTATTTATATAGCGCCAATTCACAACAGTTGTCATCCCAAGACGCTTTTCAAAGAACAAGAGCAGGTCTAGACCACGCTCATCTTTTGATGATCAGGAACCAACCTAAGATGGGTTTTGGCCCATCTCAACTAACATGAGTAGCAGTGGCAAGGAAAAACTTCCTTTTAACAGGCAGAAACCTTGGGCAGGACCTCACTCATGCCAGACAGCCACCATGCCGCTGCTGGGTTGGGGAGGAATGTAGAAAGATAGAGAGATAGAGGGAGAGAGAGAGAAAGAGAGAGAGAGAAGAGGGGAGAGGGCAGGGAGAGAGAGAGCGAAAACAAGATAAGGGGAAGGAAGAAGAGAATATGTAAGGAGAGGGAGGGGGAGGGAGAGAGAGTAGATTTTGATTTTTCAAAACAACTTTATTCAAGTCATTTTTTCAACATTAAATCAGCATATATATATATATATATATATATACACCAGTGGCGATTGCTCTAAGACTGCAAGGGAAGCTCGGCTTCCCTTAAAATGTCACCCCCCAAAAAAAGGAAAAAGTGGTGAAATACGTACGGCTGTGTGTACATTTCATTAACTAAATACGCGCTAGAAAGCCTTCATCTTTTGTTCAGACACTGTGATAAGAAGCTGATAATCACAGGTAACCGGCATAACTTCGTTCTCATTCATCCTCGCAGCGCCTCAGCGCTTTAAACAGCCGTACGCTGGGCTTCTGCTGACTTCAATGTGGAAGCTTAAAGTGGGTTGTTCCAGCAGCGAAACTAGACGCTCATTGGATAAATGCTGGGCTTTGTCCCGCCCATCGGAAGCCCAGCTTCACTGGAGTTCTATGGCGAGAGGGCGGTCCCGACTTTCTCCCGGACTCCGAGCTTCTGCATCCATGATTGGATGAGCTGTCTGAGGCGAAATCCTTTTTTGATTGACAGCTAAACAAGCGAATCAGCGATCTTGAAGAATAAAACATCTACCAGAGCATTTTCCAAGTTATTCATTCCGTTGTTCTTAACTGCTCCGGAGACTTTACCGATCCTCAGCGACTTTTGTCTTTGTTAAAAACGACTGCCGTTGTGTTTGGCGACTCTGTTCTGTTACATACTAATAAACAAATACAATTATGATGTAGGCCAGAAAAATGAGCTTCCCCTCCTTGAAAGACCAGCAGCCGCCACTGATATACACATATTTTAAATAAAAAAATAAATAAAAAACAGATCAGACCAGCTGATCTGAAAACTCCAGTCCACCATCTTTTACTGAGCACAGTACTCCACCATGGGTCCATGTTTGATTAAAACGCAGCATGTTCTGCATTTCTCTATAGTACTTGAAGTCAATCAGAATCCTTGCTCTGATTGTTCTGCTCAGCAGCAGCACCGGGTCACAGTCCACACCGTCCTCCACTTTCAGTTTCCTGCTTACATAGATCGCCAATTTTGAATGTCCCAGAACAAAGTTCAACATTTGGCATTTTTCTTTTTGAGCTCTTTTGTATTTAAAACCAAGAATGAACGTCTTAAAAGAAAACACCTCGTCTGCTCTGCTGAACACACAGTCCATCATTGTGAATAGAGGACCGAGGCGAGGACACTCAGTGAAGCAGTGGACGATGGTCTCCACTGCTCCACAGAACGGACAGCTGTTCTGGACTGCTGAGTTCAGGATGGAAATAAAAGAGTTTACTGCTAAAATTCCATAAATTAGTCTCCACTGGAGGTCAGCCACCCTCATGGAGAGTGGAGGCTTGTACAGGCTCCTCCACTCAGCCCGGACCTTGTCCCCCAGGACCAGCCGAGCCCTCCAGGGAACTCCTCAACCCATGATTAATTTGTTATCAAATTAACACCATTGTGCTGCCGTTTTCGATCAGCAAATGTAAAACTGTACCGTTAAAAGACGAACAAAGTGGTAAAGAGAGGGCACAGTTTGTCTTACCTGTGTCGAGAACGTTTCAGGAGTGACGTCTTCCTGGCCGGCGTGATCAAGTCACGTAGCTGTGAGACATTCAGCGGGCGAGCTACGCAATCCCTGAACGCCCATAGGCTGTACCAGGTGTCAATCATAGAAAACATGAACCCCCTAATAACTTTTAAAAACAGAGCTGTACAGAAAAAAAGGACTTGGGCACAAACCAGTCTTACAATAACTACATGTCAACATCACAACCATGGGGGAGAAAAATTTATGTTCTGTGTAATAAATTTCTAAAGTTTGTCCACAGTCCCATAAGCTTTGCTGGCAGAGGCGGGATTTATGACCTATACTGCAGCCCACCATCAGAGGGTGCTGTTTTCGGAGTGGCTTCACCCAGCGAGGAGGCAGACTCTGTCCATTCTTTATACAGTCTATGATGCCAACTCAACACCAAGGTGCATTCAGGTTCCTGTATAGTGTAGGAGATTACATAATATTCTCTCAAAACACAAACCAACCACTTGAAACACCAACAACAGAGATGACCCCTTCACTGACACAAGAGACCCCTTGAAACCTTTAACTGCGAAATTTAGGGGGGTCCCTCTTAAACCCTCTACCTACGGCCATTGTTAAAAAAAGAAGGCTATTGTGTTGTTTTGCTGCAATTACATGATATTTATGTTGTTAATTCAGAGAATAATGGCCGAACATTTTCATTAATAACATAGCTATCCCCTATTCCTGAGATGATCAACCCATTTAGAAAAATTGTGACATTTGTTTTCTCTCAATTGAATGCAACATGTTTCATACTTTGGTGCTATAAGGCCCCCAAATGTAGCATATGGCTATTTCAGGCACATGTGACTGCAACAGGCATACAAAATAGTCTGGTTCCTTGTTATGGCCTTCAGACAAAGATTTGTAATTTTTTTCTTAAATACAGCCAACCAAACAAATACAGCAAAGAAGACAGAGTGTTTTGAATAACTTTATCAATAAAACAGATTTATAAATAACATAGAACAATTAAGATCATTAGGAACATTAACTCGGAACAATTAGTCAATGTAAAAGGAAAAAAAAATCGAATTTTAAAATATTCAAGACAAGAAAAACATTAACCTTTTACAGTTGACAAGAACTAAACACCCAGGACCAGCCGAGCCCTCCAGGGGGACCCGATGTGTTGCTGCAGTCTCTCTCTGTTTAAGGTCTTCACCATCAGAGCCGAGAGAACCTTTCCCTCGGCCTTCTCCAGGCTCACCTCCTGCTGCAGGTCTGGTCCCGGACGGATGATGGGGGGGGGGAACGGTTGGTTGAGACAGGGGGCAGTCTGTTCCTGGCGCTGTACCCCCAGCAGTTGTCGGTCTCGTCCCGTCAGGCAGGTCCTCCAGTGACTCAGCAGTCGGCTCACGTTCCTCCTCGATCTCCAGCCCAAACGCCTCGCCAGCTCCTCCGTCTCCTGTAAGACATGGACGGCCGCAACCACCTCCACCTCTTCAGTCGGCCCTCAACAGCCTCCAGGACCCCCTCCCAGTTTCTCTTTAAAAACTGTTCATCCCCTAAAAACACCCCAAGATATTTAAGCCCCCCCACTGTCCACTGGAGCCCCCCAGGAAGTACCAGCCCCCCCAAGGAGTCCTTGTTAGTGGTGAAGGCCACACTCTTGGCCCAGTTGACCCTGGCTGAAGACAGTTTGTTAAAAAGATTGACGTTGTCCTCTAAAACCTGAATGTCCTTCTGTGTGTTTAAAACCACCATGATGTCGTCAGCGTATGCTGTCAGTTTTATCGCTGCAGGACATCCTGGGAACAGCACTCCTGTCAGAGTCCTCCTCATTTTTTCTAGTAGCGGTTCAATCGCTAAAGAATAGAGCATCCCGGATAAGGAGCAACCCTGTCGAACCCCTCTTTGAATGCAGAAGGGAGCAGCCAGACCACCATTAATCTTGAGTATGCTCGCAACGTCACGGTACATAACCCGAACCCTGGCTATAAAATCTGGGCTGAACCCGAAGGCGGCAAGCGTCTTCCACAGGTATTGGTGTTCAACCCGATCAAAAGCCTTTTCCTGGTCTATGGAAATCAGATCAGTGTCAACGCCTAAAGAGCTAAAGACGTCCAAAACATGCCGAATCAGAGTGATGTTATCACTGATCAGTCTGCCGGGCACACAGTAGCTCTGGTCTACAAGAACCACCTCCGTCATCACCTCTCGCAGCCGTAGAGCCAGGGCTTTGGAGAGGACCTTATAGTCCCCGCAGAGCAGTGAGACCGGCCTCCAGTTTTTCAGGTCTTGGAGGTCCCCCTTCTTAAGGAGCAGGGTTATGACAGCCCTCCTGCAGCTCTGCGGTAACAGTCCCGTTCTTAAACTCTCGTGAAAAACTTCCAGCAAGTCCTCACCCACCACGGGCCAGAAAGTCTTATAAAAATCCACTGGGATCCCGTCGATGCCTGGGGCCTTTCCGTTGGCCAAGCTCATGAGGGCCACATGCAGTTCCTCCAGAGTCAGGTCAGCCGTCAGGAGAGAGTTCCCCGACTGTCCCACCTGAGGGAGGTCAGACAGAAAGTCTGCCTCCAGCTGTGGATCCTCCACCAGTTCACTTTTAAAAAGGTCTCTATAAAAACATGTGGCATGCCTGCGGATCTCTGAGGCCCCAGTGATGGCGGATCCGTCAGCGGCGCGCAGGCTGTGGATGACCTTCCTCTGTCCGTTCTTTGACTCCAGGCTGAAGAAGAACTTCGATGGGGCGTCCATCATGGAGGCGTTCATGTATCGGGAGCGGACCAGTGCCCCCTGTGCTGTAGTGCCCAGCAGGTTGGCTATGGCAGCCTTCTTCTTTTGGAGGGCCTCAACATGCCTCCCTTCTCCTGTACAGTCCAACAGGTTCTGTACCTCAGTCTCCAGGACCTGGAGGGATCTGGTGATGTGCTTGGTGACGTTGCAGGTATACTGCTGACAGAACTGCTGAATTAAAACCTTCCCATAGTCCCACCATCTCTGCACTGATAAAAACTCTGCCCTCCTGTCCCTGTGTGAAGCCCATAAAAACCTAAAAGCATCTTTAAAAGCACAGTCTTCTAAAAGAGCCGTGTTAAAATGCCAGTAGGCGCTGGATGTCTTCACATTTTGAATAAAAAAGTCACATTGGACTAAAAAGTGGTCAGACACACCCACAGGGACAATAAGACATTTCTTAAAAATACTGAAATGGTGTTTAAAACAATAAAATCTGTCCAGTCTGGCTAGAGACAAGCTGTTGTCCTTGCAGTGAGACCAGGTGTACTGCCTGGTGGAGCCATTCAAACCTCTCCACACGTCCTTCAGGTCATGAGTCTCCATCAGTCTTTTCAGCCGAGTGGATGAGGCAGGATGAGGCTCCAGGTGATTCCTGTCCAACACTGCATCAGCAGTGCAGTTAAAATCACCCCCCCAGGAATAAAAAACCCTCCTCCACACCCCATCACACAGAGTATTTAAAAACAGCATTCTGTCTCTGCCCAGCACTGGAGCATAAACACAAACAAAAACAAATTTAAAATCCTCATACTGAGCCTTAACCATTAAAATGTGTCCATCCATCACCTGGTGCACCTGCACAGTCTGAGGGTTAAAAAACCTGGAGAACAGGATCTCCACCCCAGCACTGTTGGACACTTTGTGACTCAGATAGACCTGGCCTGGCCACTCCCTTCTCCAGTCCCCCTCATTCCTCTGGTCACTGTGGGTCTCCTGCACAAAAAGTACGTCCAGCTTTTTCAGCTGGCACAGCTGGAACAGAGATGCTCTCTTATAGTTCGACCTAGCTCCATTTATGTTTAGAGTCCCAATACGAATGTTCATAAAAACTGTGAGAAGAACTGAACAAATAAAAACAGGGGATAAAAAACACAACATCATAAAATTCAGTTACTCGTCACCTTGAGTGCTTCTTTGACCCTTTTCTTGAGCTTACTGAGTCTGTAAACTTCCTGTTCAGTGAACGCGTTCTCTTTTTTAAAACGATTCACAGAGTTTATAAAACCATTTAAGTCTGGGAAAAAAGTTTCCACTTTGACGGCCCATTGACCTTTAGTGTCAGCTAAAACTTTTTGATTTTTGACACACTGTAATGTGTGATTTTTTCTTTTTGAGAAGGAGTAAAGTCAGCCTCTTCCTCCTCCTCCTCTTCCTCAGAAAGGTCCTCCAGTACCTTCATGGCCTTCCCTCCCCCCTGACTCTGCTCATTTGGTTGTTTTCTTTTACTGTATTTAAGACTGATGTTTTGTTCATTAAAAACGTCTGCCATTATCACTTCAATCATGTTATCAATGTCAGATTTTGTTTCTCCTCCTCCCTCCACCACAGTATTTACAGTTTTTTTCTGTTGGTCAATTTTTACATTATTTTCATTTGGTGCATCCCCACTCAGACCCACTTCCATGCTGTTATCCTCGGGCACCTGCTTACTCAAACGGGAGCCCGAGGCGTCTGTCTCATGCTCCGCGCCCGAAGCCCCGGCCACACTCGCCGGGCGCTCCGCACCCGACACGCCGGACTCATCCTTTTTCGGACTTTTTCTCATGAAAAAGCCTCAAAAAAGAAAGAAAAGATGTTCAAACATACGATCAATCGCTCCGCACACTCACTCAGCACACTCACTGCTCAAGAGAGAGAGAGAGAGCGAGAGAGAGAGATTTGATTTTTGAATCCACTTTATTTCTCGCTCTCTTTTTTCAAAAAAGAGGGCAAATCAAACAATCAAACACACAGAGTAAAAAATAAATAAATAAATAGAAATTTACATGAGCACATCTTCAAACTGTAAAATATTTCCTGCTATTGAACACAAAACCTGATTAAAACCCCAAACCTGCTGAAATGAGTCCAGATCTCCTCCTGCTTTGTGGAAATTAAAATCGATGAGGAGTCTGGACTTGATCATGTTCTTACATACAGTGACTGGGTCAACAATAAAACCATCCTCCACCTTCCTCCTGCGGCTAAAATACACAGCCATCTTGGCCTGCCCTAAAACAAAGTTTAAAAGCTGGCACTTGTTCTTGTGTTGGCGTGTGTATTTAAAACCCAGAATAAAAACCCGCTTGTTAAAAACCTCTCCACACTTGGTAAAAACAGTTTGTAAAAACAGAAACAAGGGTAAAAGACGCAGACATTCATAAAAACAGTGAAAAATGGTCTCTCTCTGTGGGCAGTAGGGACATGTGTCCTCTACTGCCGGGTTAATGTGCGATATAAAAGAGTTCACTGCTATGACCTCATGGAGGACTCTCCAGTGTACATCCGCGTGTTTCTTTGAGAGTGGAGGTTTATAGAAGGCCCTCCACTCAGGCCTGGCCTCAGGAGCCAGGCTCAGATAGGTCCTCCATGGGGTGTCAGGTCTTTGGTCCAGTTTTGTCCTGTTTATTGTTTTCACCAAGATGTTATAAAAGGTTTTCCCAGTTGTGCCCTCCAAAGGGGCAGGGTGGTTAAAATCCAACAGCGGGCCAGAACAGTCCTTAAAATCCGGTGCCAGGAAGATGGCAGGAAAGGGGTTTTCTTTGTTCCCGGTCTGGGTAAAAGGGGAGTTTAAAAGCAGGCGGTCGTGTCCTGTGAGTCTCTGTCTCCAGTGGTCCAAGAGTTTTTGGGTGACCCTCATCGATATAAGTCCCAGCCGGGCAGCGAATCCAGCGGGGTCGTCCATCCGGGGTCCCGTCAGATCCACCACCTGCCCCAGAGTGACGATCCCCGCTGTCTGTAGTTTTTCCTGTAGACTCCGTCCTGCCCAGCTGGGAAGGTCCAGACGGGTCCCCCACAGGACCGGTTCCTGCAGGAGCCAGTATATCGAGTCCACCTGGCCCCTCCTCTCCTTCCTCAGCAGTCCCCAGACCTTAAAAACACTTTGATAAAAAGCAGGTAGAGAAGATGTGCTCATGTTCTGTGTGTTCATTAAAAACAAATTAAAATCCTGACCCAGGCTGTTAAAACCCTGCAGAATGCAGCGGGACAGGGGCCTCCACAGAGTGTCCTTCGGCCCCGTTAGCAGCCTCTGGATAAATTGGAGCCTGAAGGCTGCGCCCCTGCTGGCCAGGTGGACCAGGCCCTGGCCCCCTTCCTCTTTTGGTAAAAACAGGACACTCTGTGGGACCCAGTGGAGTCTGTCCCAAATAAAATCAACTAAAAACGACTGAATCTTGGGAAGGAGAGAAGCTGCAGGATCGATACAGGCCAGCCGGTGCCACAGGGAAGATGAGACCAGATTATTTGCGATTAAGGTTCGGCCTCTGTACGACATTTTTGGGAGTAGCCACTTCCACTTCTCCAGCCGACCTTTAACCTGTTCCAGGACATTGTCCCAGTTTTTCTGTATGTAGGTCTCATCTCCTAGGAAGACCCCAAGGTACCGGAGTCCTCCTTTTTTCCACTGTAGGCCCCCGGGCAGCCTGAGCCGGCCCCCCATCTCCCCTCCAGCCATCAGAGCCTCGCTTTTCCCCCAGTTCACCTTAGCTGAGGAGATAAAACCAAAGTTATGAACAGTGTCAGTTAAAATGTCAATGTCTTTTTGTGTTTTTACTAAAACAATAAGATCATCAGCATATACAGACAGTTTAAAAGACACAGGGCACCGGGGGAAACTCACACCACTTAGTTTCTCTCTCAGATTGTGAAGCAGAGGCTCGATGGCAACTGAATATAACATCCCAGAGAGAGAGCAGCCCTGCCTCACCCCTCTCTGGATCTCGAATGGTGCACTCAGCCCGCCGTTAATTTTCAGAACACTCGCAATGTCACTGTAGAGAACCCGGACCATGGCTATGAACCCAGGGTTGAACCCAAAGGCAGCCAGAGTCTGCCACAGGTACTGGTGTTCAACCCGGTCAAAAGCCTTTTCCTGATCTATGGAAATAAGACCAGTCTCTATACCCAATGACCTGGAGAGCTCCAAAATGTCTCGAATTAAAGTGACGTTGTCACTGATGAGCCTGCCAGGCACACAGTAGGTCTGGTCAGGGTGGATGATGGACGCCATCACCTCCCTCAGTCTGAGGGTCAGAGCCTTGGACAGGATCTTATAATCCGTGCACAGCAGGGAGACTGGTCTCCAGTTTTTCAGCTCCTGCAGGTCTCCCTTCTTGGGCAGCAGGGTGATGACGGCCCTCCTGCAGCTCAGAGGCAGCCTGCTGGTCCTCAGACTGTCTGTCACGACCTCTAGCAGGTCTGGTCCTATGATGGACCAGAAAGACTTGTAAAAGTCAGCAGGAAGGCCGTCTATGCCTGGAGCTCTGCCGCTCTGCAGGCTCATGGTGGCTGCATGGAGCTCCTGCAGCGTCACCTCTGCTGCCAGTCTGTTGTTGTCAGCCTCGCTGACCTGAGGGAGACCCGCCAGGAAGTTGCTGTGCACTTCTGGATTATTCGACCACTCACTCTTAAAGAGGTTTCTGTAGAAACCGGCAGCAAACTTCCTGATCTCAGACGAGTCTGAGACTTCGGAGCCGCTACCCGTCCGTAAACAGTGAATGGTCTTCCTTTGTCCATTTTTCCGCTCCAACCCAAAGAAGAAGCGAGATGGGGCGTCCATCTGTGTGATGTTCATGAAACGAGACCTGACCAGAGCCCCCTGTGCTGAGACACCCAGCAGGTTGGCTAATGCCGACTTTTTGGACTTGAGGGAGTCTAAAAGCCCTCGATTTGCTGTAGAGTCTGCAGTAGTCTGCAGCTCTACCACCTGCGACTCCAGGTCTTTCATGGACCGAGCTAAGTCTGTAGTGACACCGCGAGTGAACTGCTGGCTGAGCTGTTTTATCTGGGCTTTCCCAAAATCCCACCACTGTTGTATGTTAGTGAAGGCAGGCCTGCTCTCTATGTGGGATTCCCAAAAAACCCTAAAAGCAGTTCTAAAAGCCTGGTCAGATAAAAGGCCTGTGTTAAAATGCCAATAGGCGCTCTTTAAACGAATGTTTTTAATAAAAACACGACAGGAGACTAAAAAATGATCCGTAAAACCAACTGGCAGCATAAAACACCTTTTAAAAATGTTTAAATGGTGTTTAAAACAGTAAAAACGGTCCAGTCTGGCTAGAGTTAAAACCCCCTCCCTACTGTGACTCCAGGTGAACTGTCTGTGCTGACTGTTAAAAACCCTCCACACATCACTCAGCTCCTGACTCTCTGTCAGCCGCCGGAGTGTGTGTGATGAGGGTGGGTGTGGTTCAGGATGGTTCCTGTCCAGGGATGGATCAACTGTGCAGTTAAAATCTCCCCCTAAAAACATAAAACCATCGTTCTCACAGTCCCTAACACAGTCCTTTAAAATGTTTAAAAATGCTATTCGCTCCACAGCATTGGTAGGAGCGTAGACATTTAAAAACACACATTTTACGTTCTCAAAGACAGCTTTCACCTTCAATAAAACACCTGGGATGATCTCATGGACGGTAAAAGAAAAGGGTAAAAAACTCTGTGCAAATAAAATCCCCACCCCTCCGCTCAGACTGGACTTATGCCTTAAAACTACCTCCCCGTTAAAAGCCCTCTTCCAGTCACTCTCATTATCTAAGCTGCTGTGGGTTTCTTGGACAAAAATGATATCTATTTTTTTAGTCTCCATTAATTTAAAAAGAGCGGCGCGTTTAAAATCAGCCCTGGCCCCGTTTAGGTTCAGGGTGCTGATGTTAAAATCACACATGGATAAAAAATAAAAAACACTCAGGAGAACAGTCAGTAAAGGGTAAAAGCATCTAAAACTCATCTTCATCACTGATGAATTGCTCTTTTACCCTCCCTAAAACCTTTTTGAGTCTGAAGACCTCTTGTTCTGTTAAAACCTCCTCCCCATGGCTCTTCCTGGTGAGGGGTCTGGCTGACTTCATAAAAGAGCGCAGGTCTGGGTAATACTCTTTTATATTGGGCTGCCTGGAGCCTTTAATCTGTGCCAGGAAGGTTTTGATCTGAGCCGGGGAGTACGGCGACTGAGAGTCTTGTGTAAAAGAGTCTTGTGACTCTGGGGTCTTCCTCATGATCGGTTTTCGCGTTTTTTTGTTCTTTTTAACAGTCACAATGTTTTTCCTTTTTTGAGACACTTTAAGATGTTCATCATCAGACATGTCCTCCTCCATAAAATCATCGTTAAGCACTTTGCTCATGCCCCCGTCTGCTGAGTCTGAGTACATGAGCTCTTCTCGCTCCGAGCAGCCCTCAGCAACCGGAGGCACCGAGACTGTGGAGGGCCCCTCCTGGGCCGGACTGACCGTTTCTGCTGCTGTGACCCCGGTCACAGCAGCAACACTCAACTCTTCCCCAGTGGCGCGCGGACCCCCCCCGACGGCAGCAGCCCCATCGGCCGCAGCAGCGGGCGGATCCCCCCCGGCGGCAGCGGCCCCATCGGCCGCAGCAGCGGGCAGACCCCCCCCGGCGGCAGCGGCCCCCGCGGCCGCAGCAGCGGGCGAAGCACCCCTGACGGCAGCGGCCCCGGCGGCCGCAGCAGCGGGCGGAGCACCCCCAGCAGCAGCGGCAGCCGGCCGCTGTGCTCCCTCCTTCTCCGGACAGGAGCGAATCAAGTGCCCTTCTGCACCACAACTAAAACATTTCATGGTCTCTGATGAAGCAAACACAATATAAACAAATCCTTCTATTTTAAAGGAAAACGACAGGTTTAAATCATTAGTTTTGTCTTTCAGGATCATGTAAACCTGTCTCCTGTGACACACTACATGTTTCAGTTTAGGGGATTTACAGCCCAGAGAGACCATTTTGATGGGTGACACCACTTGTCCGTACCTGGACAGTTCTTTCGCCAGGGTTTCGTTTTTTATAAACGGGGGAGCATTAGAAATCGTAACTTTTGTGGCCGGGCTAACGAGGGGGGAGACCGGAGTGAAGGTGTCATGAATCACTACTCCTTTCTCCACCACCTCGTTAACCAGCACCGTACTGCTTAAAAAAATAACAATCGCCCCGTTCATCCTTGAGGCAGACTTCACCGAGTCATACCCGACCACCTCTCCTACAGCCAGGCTGGCTTCCTCCACCGAGCACTGCACCGCGGGGTTCAGCTTTATCGCGTGCCGGCGAGTTAGCTTTTCAAACTCCGCGGCTGCAGCCTCTGCTACCGGCATTGTGCTGTTAGCACGCCGCCCACCAAACCAAAGCACTCACACACTCAACAAACCACAACCCTCTTAACACTAAATAATAGACAAACAACTCATAAACACACTCACACCAACAGAAAAGAGAAATAAAGTCTGAGAAACTCACAAAATTGAATCGAAGTTCGATTCGCTCTCAGCTCTCAGCACTCACACGCCATCTCACTCAGAGAGAGAGAGAGAGAGAGAGAGAGAGAGAGAGAGAGAGAGAGTGAGAGAGACAGGGGACAGCAGAAACAACAGCAACAACAACAACAGCTCATGTAATGGTGAAACAAAATTAATTCAGTTTACAGGGTTAGGATATAAGTAATTATGAGTGGATATGAGTATCATGAGTGTGTGTGGGCTAGGTGTGCATGTGTGTGTGTGTGCTAGGTGTGTATGTAACCAATTCAGTCAGATAAATGTCAGTCAGTAAACTAGTGTTTGTGTGTGTCAGTCAGTCAGTCAGTCAGTCAGTCAGTTAACTCCTGTTTGTGTGTCAGTTGGTCTGTCTTTCAGTCCAGTGAGATTATAGTCAGTCAGTAAACTAGTGTTAATGTGTCAATCACTCTAGCAATCCAGTAAGATAATAGTCAGCCAGTACACTAGTTATTCTATGTGTGTTAAGTCTGTAAGTCTTCATCATTTCAGCAAGATAATAGTCAGCCAGTAGACTTGCGTTTGTGTGTGTGTCAAACAGTCAATCAGTCCTTATCAATCCAGTAGATAATAGTCATCAGGTATGGTTCTGTGTGTGTGTGTGTGTGTGATTGAGTCAGATCAGTAAGTATCAGTCCAGTGAACTAGTGTGTGTGGGTTTGTTTGTTTGTGTCTGAGAGAGAGAGTGAGTGTGTGTGTTGGTCAGTCAGTCAATCAATCAGTATGTGTATATCAGTCTAGGAAGATTATAGTCAGTGAGTTAGTTTTAGTATGTTTGTGACAGACAGACAGACAGACAGACGGATGGATGGACAGACAGATAACAGACAGACGGACAGACAGACAGATGGACAAGTTTACCTCGGTCACTTTGCCCTGCACCATCATTAATGAAGAGCATTTCTTCACATCCCTCAGGTCCGTAGGTGTGCTGATAGGGCTGAGGAGCCTATCAGCCCTGGCCCTAAGCTCTTCAGACACCCTGATGGGTGCAGATTTAAAGAATTTGGACTCCTTGCTGATGTTTATCATGTATGGAGGGTTACTCCCTCTGAGGGAGTAACCTTTAATTATGTAGGCGGTGCCCTCCTCCAAAATGGTGGCCACTGCCTCAAAGACTGTGACCTTGGCCAGTGAGTTGCCATCCGAAAAGACCACCACTCTGTTGTTTTTTTCCAAAGATGGCCTGGGTGTAGCCTCCTCAAAGCTCCACCTCAGGACCCTCTTTTCCTCCTTTATTTTTATGACCGCTAGATGTAATGATAGAAGGCGGTCATAAGGGGTTGTGGATTTCTGCTTCAGAATTGACAGATCCATTCTGGAAAGGAAGGAAGGTAAATTTAGCAATACTTTACAGCATTACAATAACAGTTTGAAGTATAAATATGATAAACAATGATTACATATTGAAACAGGTGAAAACAGCCAGTATGGACACCAGATATTGTGACAATGTATTTTCTGTTGTTAATATGAAAAAAAAAAAAAAAAATAAAAAAATAAAAAAAATATATATATATATATCCAGGTTACTCAGTAAGTCAGTGTGTAATGGTCCAATCAAAAGATATTTAGCCAGTAAGCTTGTGTGTGTGTCTGTGTGTGTATGTGTGTGTGTGAGACAGAGAGAGTGTGTATACGTGTGTGTGTGTCACTCAGTCAGTCAGTGATTATAAGTCCAGTCAATAAGCTAGTATTATTGTGTATTTGAGTGTGTGTGTGTGTGTGTGTGTGTGTGTAAGACATAGTGAGAGAGAGAGAGAGAGAGAGAGAGAGAGAGAGATTTTGATTTTTCAAAACAACTTTATTCAAGTCATTTTTTCAACATTAAATCAGCATCATATATATATATATATACCCATATTTTAAATAAAAACAATAAATAAAAACAGATCAGACCAGCTGATCTGAAAACTCCAGTCCACCATCTTTAACTGAGCACAGTACTCCACCATGGGTCCATGTTTGATAAAACCGCAGCATGTTCTGCATTTCTCTATAGTACTTGAAGTCAATCAGAATCCTCGCTTTGATGGTTCTGCTCAGCAGCAGCACCGGGTCACAGTCCACACCGTCCTCCACTTTCAACTTCCTGCTCATGTAGATCGCCAATTTTGATTGTCCCAGCACAAAGTTCAACATTTGGCATTTTTCTTTTTGAGCTCTTTTGTATTTAAAACCAAGAATGAATGTCTTAAAAGAAAACACCTCGTCTGCTCTCCTGAACACACATTCCATCAGTTCAAACAGAGGAGCGAGGCGAGGACACTCAGTGAAGCAGTGGACGATGGTCTCCACTGCTCCACAGAACGGACAGTTGTTCTGGACCGCTGAATTCATGATGGAAATAAAAGAGTTTACAGCTAAAATCCCATAAATTAGACTCCACTGGAGGTCAGCCACCCTCTTGGAGAGTGGAGGCTTGTACAGGCTCCTCCACCCATGCCTGGACCTTGTCCCCCAGGACCAGCCGAGCCCTCCAGGGGGACCGGATGTGTTGCTGCAGTCTCTCTCTGTTTAAGGTCTTCACCATCAGAGCCGAGAGAACCTTTCCCTCGGCCTTCTCCAGGCTCACCTCCTGCTGCAGGTCTGGTCCCGGACGGATGATGAGGGGGGGGAACGGTTGGTTGGGACAGGGGCCAGTTGGTTCCTGGCGTTGTTCTCCCAGCAGTTGTTGGTCTCGTCCCGTCAGGCAGGTTCTCCAGTGGCTCAGCAGTCGGCTCACGTTCCTCCTCGATCTCCAGCCCAAGCGCCTCGCCAGCTCCTCCGTCTCCTGCAGGTCGGGTCCGGTGATGTCCAGCAGGGTCCCCAGCGTGGTGATCCCCGCCGTCCTCAAGTCCTCGGCCACCGCTGCTCCTGCCCAGGGGGGGTTGCTCAGCAGGCCTCCACGGCCCAGCGGCTCCCTCAGCAGCCAGCAGCAGGTTTGGTGCTGGACCCTCTGCCTCCACAGCAGCTTCCACACGCTGAACAGGCCTCGGTAAAACTCTGGCAGGGATAAAAAACTCACAGTCTTAAAATCCAATAAAAACACAGTCTCCTGTAGGCCGAGGCCGCCCACGCTCCGCAGAATCAGCCGAGCCAGGGGCCTCCACACCAGGTCCTGGGGCCCGTACAGCAGCCGCTGGATAAACTGCAGTCTGAAAGCTGCCCCCCTGCTGGCCAGGTGCACCAGCCCCTGACCTCCCTCTTCCACAGGGAGGAACAGCACCGCCTGTGGGAGCCAGTGGAGCTTGTCCCAGAAAAAGTCAATTAAAACAGTCTGGACCCTGGAGAGCAGGTTAGGGGGAGGGTCGACAACAGCCAACCTGTGCCACAGGAAGGACGACACCAGGTTGTTAGTGATCAGGGTCCTCCCCCTGTACGACATGGACGGCCGCAACCACCTCCACCTCTTCAGTCGGCCCTCAACCGCCTCCAGGACCCCCTCCCAGTTTCTCTTTAAAAACTGTTCATCCCCTAAAAACACCCCAAGATATTTAAGCCCCCCCACTGTCCACTGGAGCCCCCCAGGAAGAACCAGCCCCCCCAAGGAGTCCCTGTTTGTGGTGAAGGCCACACTCTTGGCCCAGTTGACCCTGGCTGAAGACAGTTTGTTAAAAAGATTTACTTTGTCCTCTAAAACCTGAATGTCCTTCTGTGTATTTAAAACCACCATGATGTCGTCAGCGTATGCTGCTAGTTTTATCGCTGAAGGACATCCTGGGAACAGCACTCCTGTCAGAGTCCTCCTCATTTTTTCTAGCAGGGGCTCAATCGCTAAGGAATAGAGCATCCCTGATAAGGAGCAACCCTGTCGAACCCCTCTTTGAACGCCGAAGGGAGCAGCCAGACCACCATTAATCTTGAGTATGCTCGCAACGTCACGGTACATAACCCGAACCCTGGCTATAAAATCTGGGCTGAACCCGAAGGCGGCGAGCGTCTTCCACAGGTATTGGTGTTCAACCCGATCAAAAGCCTTTTCCTGGTCTATGGAAATCAGACCAGTGTCAACGCCTAAAGAGCTAGAGACATCCAAAACATGCCGAATCAGAGTGATGTTATCACTGATCAGTCTGCCGGGCACACAGTAGGTCTGGTCTACATGAACCACCTCCGCCATCACCTCTCGCAGCCGTAGAGCCAGGGCTTTGGAGAGGACCTTATAGTCCCCGCAGAGCAGTGAGACCGGTCTCCAGTTCTTCAGTTCTTGGAGGTCTCCCTTCTTGGGGAGCAGGGTTATGACGGCCCTCCTGCAGCTCTGCGGTAACAGTCCTGTTCTCAAACTCTCCTGAAATACTTCCAATAAGTCCTCGCTCACCACGGGCCAGAAAGTCTTATAAAAATCCACTGGGATCCCATCGATGCCTGGGGCCTTTCCGTTGGCCAAGCTCATGAGGGCCACATGCAGTTCCTCCAGCGTCAGGTCCGCTGTCAGGAGAGAGTTCCCCGATTGTCCCACCTGAGGGAGGTCAGACAGAAAGTCTGCCTCCAGCTGTGGATCCTCCACCAGTTCACTTTTAAAAAGGTCTCTATAAAAACATGTGGCATGCCTGCGGATCTCTGAGGCCCCAGTGATGGTTGATCCGTCAGTGGCGCGCAGGCTGTGGATCACCTTCCTCTGTCCGTTTTTTGACTCCAGGCTGAAGAAGAACTTCGATGGGGCGTCCATCATGGAGGCGTTCATGTAGCGGGAGCGCACCAGCGCCCCCTGTGCTGTAGTGCCCAGCAGGTTGGCTATGGCAGCCTTCTTCTTTTGGAGGGCCTCAACATGCCTCCCTTCTCCTGTACAGTCCAACAGGTTCTGTACCTCAGTCTCCAGGACCTGGAGGGATCTGGTGATGTACTTGGTGACGTTGCGAGTATACTGCTGACAGAACTGTTGAATTAAAACCTTCCCATAGTCCCACCATCTCTGCACTGATAAAAACTCTGCCCTCCTGTCCCTGTGTGAAGCCCATAAAAACCTAAAAGCATCTTTAAAAGCACAGTCTTCTAAAAGAGCCGTGTTAAAATGCCAGTAGGCGCTGGATGTCTTCACATTCTGAATAAAAAAGTCACACTGGACTAAAAAGTGATCAGACACACCCACAGGGACAATAAGACATTTCCTAAAAATGCTGAAATGGTGCTTAAAACAATAAAATCTGTCCAGTCTGGCAAGAGACAAGCTGTTGTCTTTGCAGTGGGACCAGGTGTACTGCCTGGTGGAGCCATTCAAGCCTCTTCACACGTCCTTCAGGTCATGAGTTTCTATCAGTCTTTTTAGCCGAGTGGATGAGGCAGGATGAGGCTCCAGGTGATTCCTGTCCATCACTGCATCAGCAGTGCAGTTAAAATCACCCCCCAGGAATAAAAAACCCTCCTCCACACCCCCCACCACATCACACAGAGTATTTAAAAACAGCATTCTGTCTCTGCCCAGCACTGGAGCATAAATACACACAAAAACAAATTTAAAATCCTCATACTGAGCCTTAGCCATTAAAATGTGTCCATCCATCACCTGGTGCACCTGCACAGTCTGAGGGTTAAAAAACCTGGAGAACAGGATCCCCACCCCAGCACTGTTGGACAGTTTGTGACTCAGATAGACCTGGCCTGGCCACTCCCTTCTCCAGTCCCCCTCATTCCTCTGGTCACTGTGGGTCTCCTGCACAAAGAGTACGTCCAGCTTTTTCAGCTGGCACAGCTGGAACAGAGATGCTCTCTTATAGTCTGAGCGAGCTCCATTTATGTTTAGAGTCCCAATACGAATGTTCATAAAAACTGAGAGAAGAACCGAACAAATAAAAACAGGGGATAAAAAACACGACATCATAAAAATCAGTTACTTGTCACTCTGAGTGTTTCTTTGACCCTTTTCTTGAGCTTACTGAGTCTTCCTGCTCAGTGAACGCGTTCTCTCTTTTAAAACGATTCACAGAGTTTATAAAACCCTTTAAATCTGGGAAAAAATTTTCCACTTTGACAGCCCGTTGGCCTTTAGTGTCAGCTAAAAACTTTTTGATTTTTGACACACTGTAATGTGTGATTTTTTCTTTTTGAGAAGGAGTAAAGTCAGCCTCTTCCTCCTCCTCTTCCTCCTCCTCCTCTTCCTCAGAAAGGTCCTCCAGTACCTTCATGGCCTTCCCTCCCCCCTGACTGCTCATTTGGTTGTTTTCTTTTACTGTATTTAAGACTGATGTTTTGTTCGTTAAAAACGTCTTCCATAATCACTTTGATCATGCTGTCAATGTCTGATTTGTTTTCTCCTCCTCCCTCCACCACAGTATTTACAGTTTTTTTCTGTTGATCAATTTTTACATTATTTTCATTTGGTGCATCTCCACTCAGACCCACTTCCATTCTGTTATCCTCGGGCACCTGCTTACTCAAACGGGAGCCCGAGGCGTCTGACTCGTTCTCGAGTGGGGCCGGGGCGAGTGGGGCCGGGGCTCCGCGCGCGAAGCCCCGGCTCCACCCGCCGGGCGTTCCGCGCCCGGAGCCCCGGCCTTACTCGGCGTTCTCCTTTCTGGCCTCAGGACATGCTCGGATGAGATGTCCTTCGGCCCCACACCCAAAACACTTCATTGTGTCCGATGTAATAAAAACCACATAGTTAAAACCGTCAATCTTGAAATTTAGTGACAGGTTTAAAGGATTTTCCGCGTCTTTCAGTATCATGAACAGCTGCCTCCTGTGACACACGACATGTTTTAACTTTGGTGATTTGCACCCTAGCAAGACCATTTTTACTGGTGACACAATTTGACCGTATTTACTCAAAGCTTTGCACAGGTCATAATTTTTTATAAACGGTGGTGCATTTGACACTGTTACCTTTTTAGCCACGTTTACCAGAGGAAACACGGAAGTGAACGTGTCCCTCAATACTACACCTGATTCCACCACCCTCTCCACTTTACTCACCTCATCTAAAAAAATAACAACAGCACTATTCATCCTAGATGCTGACTTTACACTCTCGAATCCCACCACCTCACCAACAGCATAGCTCACCTCCTCCACCGACACGCCAGCTCCAGGTAAAACTTTCACCGCGTGCCGGCGAGTTAGCAGCTCCAGCTCGGCGTGACCACTGACCACGGGCATGTCGCCCTGCTGTCAGCCCACCACCACCAAACTCTCAACTAAACTACTCACCTACAACTATTAATACGAATAAAGCAGACTTTCTCTCATGAGAAAGCCACAAAAAGATAGAAATTTGTTCAAACACTCGAACAATCGCTCCGCACACTCACTCAGCACACTCACTGCTCAGAGAGAGAGAGAGAGAGAAAGAAATCAAGAAAGAGAGAGAGAGAGAGAGAGATTGTGTATGTTTGTCCAGCTAAACTTGTGAGGACCATCAGAAGCTTGTAACCATCTGAGGGAGGTCCAAATACTGAAGTGAGGACATTTAGGCTTGTCCTTACACTGTCTAAAGGCTCTCCTCTAAAAGAGAGAGAGAGAGAGAGAGAGAGAGAGAGAGAGAGTATATTTGCTGAGTCAGTCGGTAACGTAGTGTGTATTGGTCTAGTCAGGTTATAGTCAGTCAGTAAACTAGTGTGTCTTTGATATGTTGTCAGCCATTTTGTTAACATTTCTGTCTGCCTGGCAGATATGGAGACATAGTAACAGCTTGGTAAAAGCTTTGAGGTCAGCCAACCACAACTAACTTCAACAGCCAATCATGAGTAAGTTAGTGTCATATTACTTCCATTTTAATGTTATCAGTCATTTTGTCAAGCATTCTCACTGCCTGGTGAATGTAGAAGCAAAATAAAATATGGGGGCATAGTAGCAGCCCGGCGACGGCTCTGGAGCTAGCCAATCACAAGAGAGGTCCCACAAGCCAATCATGAGTAAGCTAGAGTGAAGGCCCAAGGGGACAGTTGCAGACACTTTCAAAGAAAGGCCTTTTTATCACAAACTTTTAATGGCAAACTTTCTTCTTGAATTATATATGTAACCATGCAATCAGCTCCCTATCAAAAAAGGAGCCTAGAAATAATTTTTTAAGTCACATATCATTACCAAAAATTATTTAAATTATTTATTTAGTGATCAAAATCGCCCTGTTATTAGATATTTTTACACATTTATACCTATAAACACAGACTCTCTCTCTCTTTCTTTCTCTCTCTCTTTATACATATATATGTATATGAAATATATTTATATTTAATCTTATTTATTGTCTGACAGTCCATTTTTTAACATATCTGACTGCCTGGCAAATATAGAGGCACAGCAGCAGCCGAGCAAACAGCCAATCATGAGTAAGCTAGAGTGGAGGCCCAGGGACACAGTCGAAGACACTTTCAGAGAAATACTTTTTTTACATTTTTGTCTGCCTGTCAAGTATGGATGCATAGCAGCAGCCTAGCGACGGCTCTGGAGCTAGCCAATCACAAGAGAGGTCCCACAAGAACAGCCAATCATGAGTGAGCTATAGTGGAGGCCCAAGGAGACAGTTGCAGACACTTTCAGAGAAAGACCTTTTTATCACAAACTTTTAATGGCAAACTTGCATTAAACATTAATTTTTCTAAATAGTTTGTACATGCATCTATACATATATATAAGTATCTATCTATCTATCTAAAGACATGTCTTTAACAGAGACATGTCTTAAACAGTGAACAGCTTACAGGAACCATAAAAATGGAAAATTTCTGAATTAAAGCTATCTTTGTCACCCGAATTGATTTACAGTGGAAGACTACACCATAGCTAATTTAGTTTTTAGTTATCTATTTATTTTTACCAAGTCCAGCCTATTAGCTTGGCAAAGTGTTTGTAGCCTCCTCAAGAAAGACTGCAAAATCTCACACAAAAATACTAAGACACTTAAAAAAACAATTGACAGAAATAGAAAAATTAACCATTCAAATATATTATTTGTATGATAGAAAGTGTAGTTTCTAAGCTAATTTAATATTAAATTTGATGGAGAAATAGAGAAATTAACCATTCAAAAATATCTTTTTGTACAATAGAAAGTGTAGTTTCAAAGCTAATTCAATTTTAAATATGATATAAAAAGAGACTCACCCTTCTCTGTGCTCTTCTAGCTTCTCTTGTTCTTGCTCTTCCTTATCAAAATGGAGCTCTAAAACTTTCTACACAGTTTCCATGGTGATGAAAGACACTGGGCGGGGCCATAAACTGAACCCATTTAAATCGGGACAGCATGTACACATGTCAGAGCCGGGAGCGCGGCTGCTCATTTCTACTCGGAAAGCCAGGTGCATGTAGGTATTACCATAGACATAATTTACATAGACGCCTCAAAGCCTGACGCTCTTGAGCGAGCCTGGAGTGGAGTGACCCATCCAATATGGCGGCGACACTGGATTACGCTCCAGCACATAATGAGGCGTCTACGTGTGTTATGTCTATGGGTATTACAACCCTTTTAGCCGGATGAAGTGTGTATGCATTTCAACATTCCAAGCTGGCGGCACCGCTGAACATTTCTACCCTTTAAATCGGGAGCGCGTGTGACATTCTGTAGTTTTTTTTAATACATTCCGGAGTCGTGGCGAATCAAATAATCATACCCGTCTGCCTCTGGTAGGCGAATAAAGTGCTCGGTTTCATGCTTGGATCTTGCTATGTGCTTCGTGAGGAAAGCAAACAATGACGGCTGCAGAGGGCAGCTTCTTCAGAGAAGTGTCCAGCAGTGTGAACAACCTCTTCATATTGAGTGCTCTGGGCTCACACTTTCTGCGTTGTCTGTGAGTGTTGCATGATTTTGGGTGAGCACAGAGATGAACACACTGTCAGCCACTTATTTATAAATTCATTTTTTATTTTTCAGTTCTTAGTGCTGCTTTTGTACTGGTACTATACTAGGGCAGCTGTATACCCTTTCAACACTTTGTGTTTTATTTTTACATTTGTGTTTAATTGACACTTATCATGACTGCCACTTGTTTTACAGAAAGCAAACAATGTGTTAGTCTCCAGTGCAGAGCCTTTACTTTTATTTATACAGCCGCTTATTTAATTTGGTTCGTTTGTTCAAGGTTTTCAATAATGTGATGACGTTCCAGAAAAATAAAAGATAGTTACCTTGAAAGCCACATGTATAAGCTGTCAAATATTTTTTTAATTTCGTTTCTATCTGCTACAGAGGCTGCGATATCAGCTTTTTTGTAAACCTCAATACTTCAGAAAGCCTCAGGATCTGGGGGCCCTTCTCAAAATTGCCCTCAGGATTTCAGAGGCATGTCTTAGACAGGGTTCAAGTCTTAATGGGTTAAGGCAGGATGAAAACGTCCAGGAAAAGTCCTGAAAAATGCCAACCCACTTGCACTCTGCTAGGATACAGACTTAACATCCTGACGCACTTGTAATAATACCAGGAGATGTCAACCATGTCACCCTCTCCTCTCTCCTGACTGGATTTACACACTTTGACTGTCCTTCCAGAGAAACCTTTTAATGAGATTGCAGACAAATTAATTTCCCTTTGTATAAATAAAGTCAGTGAATTATAATTATGTTGTATTGTATCAACTACCAAATCACACATGGTGTGACAGCATTCTTCCCCCAGGAGGCCATACAAAGGCGTACTAAGGAACTCCATCCATATTGAAGGCTCACATTTTTGGTGTGTCTGTTTCAATGAGGCAGTATTGTGTCACTTGGTCTGTTTTTGAGTCCATGTGTATGTTACTGTATGAGTGTAGAAATTGTTTATGAGCTGAAGTAAAAGTAGTAGAAGTTGAATGACTGTTGAGCTGAGGTGGAAGAAGTAGAAGTTGTATGAATGTAGAAACGGTTGAAAAGCTGAAGAAGAAGTAGTAGAGGTAGCAATTGAATGAATGTGAAAATTGTTTAGAAAGTCAAAGTAGTATGAATTTGCTGCACAATTGAAATAGCATAAATGTTAAAAGAAGCTGAAAAAATGTCTGAAATTGGACAAAGTTTGTATGAAGAAGAAAATTACCTGAAAATACAGTAAAGTGAGAAGTGGTATAAGTAGCCATTATTAGTATAAGTAATAGAAGTAGAAGAAATAGTGATAGTAGTAGTCACATTAGTGGTAGTGGTAGTAGAAGTTATTGCAGCAGTAATAGTTGTTGTATTAGCAGTAGTAGTTATCATGTTCATAGTCTTAGCAGTA